TTCCATAAAATTAATCGATTCTAGACTAATTCGACTCAACATTTCCAAAACACGTATAATTTTTTGGGAATAATCCATATAAACTATGCTATAAACAAAAAATTGTAGTATTACTTACCGAGCGTGCACCGTTCGACAACGCCATTGCTTAAGATTATTTTCGTCGTGGAGTGGTGCATCGCGTGTGTTTCCTGATAAGTTATTTTTCTACAAAAAATTTGCTAAACTTTGGAGACATCATTAATATAAATATAATTTTTATGGCCATTAAATAATAAATGGTTTTTAGTAGGTCCGCTGCTCATTTAAACTCAATGGTTTGTATCCGCTATTGGTCTAGATTCGACCAATCTTGTTGCGACACGAGTTGGCGATGATGTTTTACTGTATTATACGAGTCTCTTTTAGCGTGTTTATACGAATACAATCGCAATTTTTTCACCATGTTATATGAACCCGTATTACATGAACCCGTGTTATAGAGGAGTCTACTGTATATTATCGTAAGCCAGACTTGACTAAATTGATGTCACAAGTTCAGCATCAGGGGAGACATTGATATCAAAGAGGAGAATAAAGTTCATTCAGTTATGTTTGTTTTTATAATAATTAGAATTATAATTTGAATTTTTATGTTTAAAGTTTAAAGTGTATTGTAATTATTTTCTCAATAAAATTTATCTTATTATTCACCAAAAAAAGACTGTTTTTAAAATGAAAATACAACTGACCTGAAAGCCTTCTTAATGCACACATTTTGGTTGATTTTGACCTGCACCCAAAAAAGGTTGCAGGACCCCGGTACAGACATTAACTTGTTAATTTTCATTATCCGTTTTATAAAGAAATTTGCATTTTATAATTTACAATATGTAATTAATTTAATCATTGTGACTTTAGTAATAAACTTGCTTATTTCTGCTATATTATACTTGCTTATTAACTTGCTTATTTCTGCTATATTAAGCTATAAAATCTCATTCTATTTATTGTACTGTATATTCTACAATACATTTTATATTTGTATTGATTTCAAAAATAGAACTCAAATAGTAATTAACATTTTTACAAATCATTTGTCCGCATTAGAATTCTATTTTTGAATTCAAATATTTTATTATCTATGAACAATTCTGCCAGAAGAGGAGTCATATACTATCAGAAGTACTCACAAAATAAATAATTTTATGTAACACCAACAAACAGTTCTCAAATGTTATCTTTCTCTAAATTAGCATGTACAGTTATTTAAGTTTTATTGCTTTCATGGAAACTACAAAGGAGCATTTCTTTATGTTGTTGAAATCTAGAGAACAATGGCAAAGACAACAAGTTGAACTGTTTCTCTTATGATGTTGAAAACATGAAATCATCCCCAAAATGTATTTTACTAAGGTACGATTCCTTTCCAAAGTGTGTTCGACCACTATTTTTCCAAGTAGAAAGAAAGCTTCCAGCAAGACTATTCAGAGACAAGCAGAGAATAGTTGCTGATTGTGAATAAAATGTATATTTTGTACATTTAGCTTTTGTTAAAATCTGTGATCCAAAGATCCTTTATGAACAACTTGATAAAGTTCCATTTCTTACAACAGCAGGTTCCAAATGAAAACAAAGTTGGATAATAAGTTATTGCATAAGGTACGAGGTAAATGTAGATCTCGGGTCAGTGTTCCATACTACAGTTACTCAGGTGGAGTGATTCCAAAAGCAGTGCATTCTTTACTGCAGTGTGGCCCGAAGTTAATTCCAAAACCAAAGAAGGATCTATGTTAATTCCATCTGCTATTGCAACAGTTAAAAATTGTCAGCAGAAGGACTTGGGTTCTCAACTGAAAGTATTCATCATCACAAAGATATCTGGTGCACAGTGTCCACACACTACTCTTCCATCAGGGAGAGAGAAAAGGGTTGTCACACAGTTTTTGAACACTTTGAATCTAAGACTTTTGGTCTTGGACAAAGATAAAAAGTTTTTATTCTGCAGAGACTGACTTTTTGTATAGGGCTAATCATTTCCTGCAGTCGGGACTGGTGTTAATGAAGGAAGATACAACCTCTTTAGTTAGAGAAAAGTAAAAAAGTTGTCACCATGCTGGGTGTAACAGTGTTATCTGGACTTCTAGATATACCAGCCAATGTAGCATGTCCCAGATTATTATTTTTTTTTTTCAGGTAAAAACACACAAGTCTGCCTGGTCACTTTACCCCTAAGTGAATAAGTGCTCCCATCCAATGTATTTCCTAGAAAAAGCACTGCTCGTGTGCTGAGCTCCAATCTTGTCATATCATCATCACCTTTATGGTTAGTGGCATTGGGACTACCTCCAAATTTGTACAGACTTTTCAAAATAGATGTGGTTGCTTTATATCCATCTGTACGCAATTTTGAAGCAGTCATGCTTGCAAACATATTAATCGAGAATAGTTGTTCCATACCACAGATACTGGGGTTGAGAGAGGCACTTTTACTAATTACTGAAAACAATTATTTCTGTTTCAATGGAAACATTTACTTACAAAAGCAGGGAGTACCTATGGGTTCAGCTCCATCGACCACTTTGGCAGAGTTAGTGGTGAGAACCATATAGTTCAAAATTTTCAGATCCCCTCTCATCATACATTCATTATCCTCTTCTATATTTGAAGTATATTGATGATATTTACTAATATGGGAAGACTATAATAGAGAGTTACTGTATACAATCATTGTCGGCTATTTTCCTGACTGTTTTGTTTACTAAAGAGGAGGAAAAAGATACAAAGATCTCCTGGTTTGGATCTGCTCATATATAATCTCCCAACAGCATCTTATTTTCTATATCATAAATTTGATGAATCTCCTTACATCATTCCTTCTACAGCTTTTCAACCCTCCAGGTACAAAAACTCTGCTATTATAGATACATAGGGCAATCTTATATCCACTCAATTGCTTGTAGATGACAAGCTTTCCCTTCTTAAATCAGCAGTTTGCAATGCGGAGTATTCTTTGGCCAAGTTCAAACACCTAGTCAATCAGGTCAAAGGCATGTTATTTCCACGATCCACTTTGTATCATAGGAAGAAGTTGGTTGTTGTAACATCAGCCATTCCATACCTGGATCCCCTTCAATATGTATTTATCAAGTTTTCAAGAAATCTGACTATATTTTGCCACTAGCATCCAGCCCACATTGCATAGGATACTTTGAAATGATAGAGACAAAGTTACACTCTATGAAAAATCTGGGTATGTGTTATACCCTTACAAAATCTGCTAACTGGGTCGAAGCTGTTATATATTGGAACCACCACTAGAATGCTCTACCTTTGTCTTGCAGAACATCGTGATGATGTACATAACAAATGTACAACAGAACTAGCTAAAAAGTGATAGAGTGTAACTTTGAGCTGCTTTGATTGCAAACTTCCTTTCTAAAATGCTGTGATGATTTAAAAACATTTATATGGGAATCCCTTTACATCTCAACAATGTCACAGTGTAACTCACCCATACTAGATATACCAGAATTGCACAGCACTATTTAATCTCAAAGCTGTAAATCATGGTTTGTGATAAAACACCTCACAGTGTCATTGGCACTGTTATAAATTTATTTTTGTTTATTTACTATTTTATTGTTAATTATTTTAATCTAGTTTTATTTTTAATGCTTTTCTTTTACATATAACGTTAGTTTTGTAACATATATACAATTTACAAAATTATACAATGTAATTTTAAATGCCATGTGCATGAGGGACAAATGATTTGTGAAAACATTAGTTCCTATTTGAGTTCTATTTTTAAATTCAAGATGTTTTGTTCTCTATGAACAATTCTATCTGAAGAGGACAGTTATATACTGCAAGTCAAAAGTATTTGCAAAATAAATCATTTTATGTAATGCTGACAGACAGTGATGTATGTTATCTTCCTCTANTTCTCAACTGAAAGTATCCATCATCACAAAGATATCTGGTGCACAGTGTCCACACACTACTCTTCCATCAGGGAGAGAGAAAAGGGTTGTCACACAGTTTTTGAACACTTTGAATCTAAGACTTTTGGTCTTGGACAAAGATAAAAAGTTTTTATTCTGCAGAGACTGACTTTTTGTATAGGGCTAATCATTTCCTGCAGTCGGGACTGGTGTTAATGAAGGAAGATACAACCTCTTTAGTTAGAGAAAAGTAAAAAAGTTGTCACCATGCTGGGTGTAACAGTGTTATCTGGACTTCTAGATATACCAGCCAATGTAGCATGTCCCAGATTATTATTTTTTTTTTTCAGGTAAAAACACACAAGTCTGCCTGGTCACTTTACCCCTAAGTGAATAAGTGCTCCCATCCAATGTATTTCCTAGAAAAAGCACTGCTCATGTGCTGAGCTCCAATCTTGTCATATCATCATCACCTTTATGGTTAGTGGCATTGGGACTACCTCCAAATTTGTACAGACTTTTCAAAATAGATGTGGTTGCTTTATATCCATCTGTACGCAATTTTGAAGCAGTCATGCTTGCAAACATATTAATCGAGAATAGTTGTTCCATACCACAGATACTGGGGTTGAGAGAGGCACTTTTACTAATTACTGAAAACAATTATTTCTGTTTCAATGGAAACATTTACTTACAAAAGCAGGGAGTACCTATGGGTTCAGCTCCATCGACCACTTTGGCAGAGTTAGTGGTGAGAACCATATAGTTCAAAATTTTCAGATCCCCTCTCATCATACATTCATTATCCTCTTCTATATTTGAAGTATATTGATGATATTTACTAATATGGGAAGACTATAATAGAGAGTTACTGTATACAATCATTGTCGGCTATTTTCCTGACTGTTTTGTTTACTAAAGAGGAGGAAAAAGATACAAAGATCTCCTGGTTTGGATCTGCTCATATATAATCTCCCAACAGCATCTTATTTTCTATATCATAAATTTGATGAATCTCCTTACATCATTCCTTCTACAGCTTTTCAACCCTCCAGGTACAAAAACTCTGCTATTATAGATACATAGGGCAATCTTATATCCACTCAATTGCTTGTAGATGACAAGCTTTCCCTTCTTAAATCAGCAGTTTGCAATGCGGAGTATTCTTTGGCCAAGTTCAAACACCTAGTCAATCAGGTCAAAGGCATGTTATTTCCACGATCCACTTTGTATCATAGGAAGAAGTTGGTTGTTGTAACATCAGCCATTCCATACCTGGATCCCCTTCAATATGTATTTATCAAGTTTTCAAGAAATCTGACTATATTTTGCCACTAGCATCCAGCCCACATTGCATAGGATACTTTGAAATGATAGAGACAAAGTTACACTCTATGAAAAATCTGGGTATGTGTTATACCCTTACAAAATCTGCTAACTGGGTCGAAGCTGTTATATATTGGAACCACCACTAGAATGCTCTACCTTTGTCTTGCAGAACATCGTGATGATGTACATAACAAATGTACAACAGAACTAGCTAAAAAGTGATAGAGTGTAACTTTGAGCTGCTTTGATTGCAAACTTCCTTTCTAAAATGCTGTGATGATTTAAAAACATTTATATGGGAATCCCTTTACATCTCAACAATGTCACAGTGTAACTCACCCATACTAGATATACCAGAATTGCACAGCACTATTTAATCTCAAAGCTGTAAATCATGGTTTGTGATAAAACACCTCACAGTGTCATTGGCACTGTTATAAATTTATTTTTGTTTATTTACTATTTTATTGTTAATTATTTTAATCTAGTTTTATTTTTAATGCTTTTCTTTTACATATAACGTTAGTTTTGTAACATATATACAATTTACAAAATTATACAATGTAATTTTAAATGCCATGTGCATGAGGGACAAATGATTTGTGAAAACATTAGTTCCTATTTGAGTTCTATTTTTAAATTCAAGATGTTTTGTTCTCTATGAACAATTCTATCTGAAGAGGACAGTTATATACTGCAAGTCAAAAGTATTTGCAAAATAAATCATTTTATGTAATGCTGACAGACAGTGATGTATGTTATCTTCCTCTATGTTGAATAAATTTTTAAAACTTCAAAAATTGACAGGCAGATTTAAATTAATTGCCCAATAAATGTTGATACTTTTGATGCCTCATAGGCATCAAAAGTTCAATTTTGATATCTTAAAGAGCCTAAAATATTTGAATTTCAAAATTTAATTTTTCTGGTAATATACTTGTCATTCCTTTCAATGCACTGTTTCATCTTTATGTAAAAAGCCTACTTCTATTCAAACATTTCCTGTCAGTGAATGATTGTATCTATATACTAAAGCAACACTGGCTTGACTCAATCTGCATAATCATGAAAAATGACATTAAAAAATGGCTCAGTATTGATTGTATAAGTAAGTGTATTACATACATATACATGCAATTTTTATGTATATGCTACCTCTTTTTATATATAAAGTCTACTTAAAAAGTAGTATTTATAAACTTTTTTGTAATTCAATCATTAATAGATTACAATTTCATAATAGTTCTTTGACAATCAAAATACAAGTTCGCATTGCATATCATCTTTCTTCACAAAATACCAATTTTATGTTATTGATATAAAGCACATTGTACTGTACATCAATTTATAAAAATTAGCTTAAATCTTAACTTTGTAAATTCTGAAAAATCAATAATCTTATTTACAATTTAAAACTTNCCTTAGTCCGTAAAGTTCCCACCTATCGGGCTGCGATTGGCTCATTCCTACAATGTAATTTTCGGTTAGCGTGGAACGTATCTAAGCGTTATAGGGGGGTCTACTGTATTCTTTCCTCTTACCATATGTATCAGGTGTACTAATGTCAAAAATTCTCTCTCTCTCTAAGACCATTACTATAAATATTTTTAACTGAAGAGGGCTTAAAGTAAATGAAACCAAAATGCATTTTGATAATTTATAAAGAAAATAATTTTAAATAAAGGCATTTTATCACCACCAGTTTGTCTTATTATCCTTGGATAGATAGTGGCAATTGAAGCATATTTTGACAAGTGTGTCATATTAAATAGATGTAAACTAACTTTCATAGAAAATATTTCTTCTAAATGGCACTCTCATCAACTAAAGAAATTTAGAAACAAAATTCAAAAGATTTGGAAATGGAAATGTTGAAGAAACTCTAGAATTTTATATATCCACCATACTATGACAAACATGTTATGCTGATTATAAATAACACCTAAATTATTTATGAATCGTTCAAATATTTGCTTATGATCCACATTTAATTTGGAGTTTTATTCCTAAAGTTATTTAAAAAAAAAAAAAAATATTCCAAATGAGAATATTTACAGATAGATTAAATTAAATTCAAAAGTACATTTTTTGAAATTATACCTAAGGCTAATTTTGCATTCTTAGTTTCTATTCATCATTTACACAAAATCTTCTTAAAAACAATATTTCTGAAAGTATAAAATGTACAAACACTTTCATTATCCTCTCTCAGCTGGATTCCTTCTCTCTTTAATAAAAAAAAATTAGGTTGATTGAAACCATTGTTTTTTTACTAAACTTTTCTCCTCTTCAATACAAGTTTATACCTAAACAATGGTATTCTTTTTCAATGCATGCTATACCTAAAAAGAGAACAACATGGTTTCCAATGCTTTACATTTTATATCTTTTTCTATAAAGCTATTACATCAGTAAACTTTTGACAATATTTTATTTCACTTCATTCAATTTTTCATTTTACTCAAATTTTAACAAGGGGTCATAGAAATGTAACAATGAAATAGAAAGATCCTATATCAAACGTCGCAAAGCCCAATATGTATATAAAAACATCAAATGATTGCCTAAATAAATCGAGCTAAAGAATGATCCTATGTTTTTTCAATAAAAAACTTCATGTGACTAAATATTAAAAATATTCAGTATTGGGATATTTTAAAACATCTTNATACTTTGAATTTAGTTGTGGGACTCAAACCAACAACAGCTGCTTACTGTGCGGATATGTTGCCAGTAACAGTACCAGGACCTCCATCCAATCTGCTGAAGGTTCAAGTCCCCATTCAATTATTAATAGTAGCAGTAATAGAGTCTGATATATTAAAGCCAAATGATTGCAGGATTAGAACATAAACAAAACATCTTTAAACCTGATTAATTTCCATTATTTTTGTTTTAATCTGAAATAAAATAAATAAAATAGAAAAAAACAATTTCAGAGAATTAAAAATACTTTTCTATTGTTGTATTCTTTTTATCACATTCACTATATTTCTACCCTTCAATAAATGGTCATTTTAAACCAAATGTCCTGCATACTCTATAGTACTTCTACTTAAAGTATCTCCAGTTGGAAAATGTTAACACAAACTTATTCATGTTACTCTAATATTTTGAATACTTATAAAAATATATCCTATCAGTTCCAGAGTGAAGAAACATTTAGACAGAATACTAAAATATAATATTTTCGGAATCAATATGTTATTCAAATTTTTTGAGAACTTATATTGTGTTAGCTGATTAAATTCACCAGTTGAAATAATAAAATATCAAAATGACATCAACTGATTTTTCTCTATATTGGGAACTGATAAGCTTGTTGCTTTACTCTTCACATGGGTGAGTACATTTGTGACAAAAAGAAGATTTTAAACTAAGTTTCCCTTAAAACTTTCAGATATATCATACATCATTACTATTTAATTTTTTATATTTTACAATTTTGAGATTTGTTTTGCAGTTAATATTAAGTAAATAAATAAAAAAAAATTAATATTTTATTTATATGAGTGCGATAGAGTTATAGCAGAAAAGTATCATTAATCTGATGATCAAAACTGGTTGTTTCAATTTCAAAACAGTTCTCAAATTCTCCAGATAGCATTTAGTCCTTATTTTCACTTATTTTATTCCTTTATGTTTGTTTAACAACATACAGAGAAATCTTAGAACACTACAATCTAAGGAAGATAAAAATATGACCTAAAAATTATATATTATTGGAAGAGGTCATGAAAGCAAGAATGGATAAAATTCATTTGTTAATTTGGACTTCTTTCAAACACTTGATTTGCTTAATTCTGACAGCTTCTGAATGCTTCTTCTCTCATTAAAAGTAATAAATATATTTTTACTGACAAACAAATTGATTTTTTTATTGTTTGTATTGGAAGTTTAAAGCACTGATGAATTTTATGATGGTTGGTCAAAGATTGATCTTTCACAGGGAGTATGTTGAACAGAGGTTCAAAATCAATCTCAATCATATGTTCAGAAAAACTCAAATTTAATAAAAAAATAATTTAAAAAAATATATTATAAAGATGCTGGTTATGAAAAAGAAAAAATTATTTTTTATTCAAATATGTTGCAATACAATTATCTAAAATTAGTAATCTTTGTAATTTCATATTTAAAAAATTGAAAATTTCATTATTTATTTTCAAAATAATTTTATGCTTTATTGAAATTTATAATGAAGATGACTTACTACTGACTTAAAAGAAACAACAAGACTTACTCTAGGTGTATCAAAAAATAATAACTGCTGTTCTTTTGAACTTAAAACAAAATATAGATTTTTCCATTTTCTGTTTCCTTGACCTAAATAAAAAATAGATTTAAATAATTTTTAAAACTAAGTAAATACAATATTAAAATAAAAAAAAAAGTCAGATAGTTATGCTGTAATAAAAATATTCTTTAAATGAAAAAAAATTTCTTAAAAGTATATTTTATTATAAATAGTCATTCAGAAATTTAAAATAAAATTTATTTAAAAGTCATACAACTACACAGAGTAATATGATAATTCTTGAATATTAGAATGAAAAACTGCTAAATGATATTATTTAGTAAAACCAAAAATAAAGTTGCATAGAAAAAAATAAATAATAAAAATAAATGAAAAAAAAATTATGAGCTTTTATAAGAGCAAAAATGAGCTGGAAACAAATAAGAGAAATAAAATCTTACTTTTCTTGTTAAGATAGCCTTTCATACGAATTCCTTTATTTCGTTTCGCTAATCCAGTCTCTCTACTTTCTTTTAACGTAGCATATATATCTTGTGATTTATGCTGAACTTCTTCAGCCTTACTGAGTTCTTTTGATTCATAAGGTGCCTAAATAAAGTTTTATTAAAAATAAATAAAAATTTTACATTTATTTTCTAAAACCATTTTAATGTGTAATCCACATGACAAAAACTAAATTATGTACTGTTTAAATAAATATATTACATGAATAAGAATTTATATTATATAATCTATAGCAATTTTACTATAAAATTTTACTCTATTTTAATTCTACTTTTAAAGATTTACAGAATACTTTGACTTTATTTTCTAATTTATTATTAAGAAATAATAGAAAATATTTATAACTAGCTAAGTAAGAAAAATTAAAACTTATTTGTCCCTAAATTGTGGAATGCAAAAATATCCATTAGAGAAATTGTAGATAACTTTGTTTCTTAGTAGTTGCAACTACTTATCTAAGATTATCCTTTCATCATTATCTTTTATTAAAACAATCTAAAAAATTTGTAGACCTCATTATTAAAACTTAAGAAAAGGAACAATGGAACAATACACTTTTTTAGACATTAAAAATGATACATGGCTCTTTGGAGAAAATGTAAAATTTGGATCTATAATGTAAAAACTGATAAATATTTATTACATAGGAAAAATTTTGAAAATTTAGAGTGACATTAAAGAATAAGCCAAACAACCACCAGATTACAATCAAGCTACTTTTCCACAATTATATTTAATTACTAATAATTTGTCACTAGAGAGGCAATATGCACAATCTCTTATTAAATTAATAAATATTAAGTAATTTAGAATATTCTGGAAGAAAAGAATCTGCCAGGAGTGGGACTCAAACCTGCAACTCCCGCTTACCATGCAGATGCACTGCCAGTTCTGATACCCAAGTCTCCAGTCTGATCTCCTCTTCCAGACATATTTAAATATGGTGTAATCATTCTCAGTTACTTGCAATGCCAATTGGGGACGCCTTCAGCGCCCTTGTCCTATAAACTCTTACCCCCTGAAGACGTCCCATCATATTTAAAACATGTCTGGAAGGAGATATCAGACTGGAGGCTTGGGTAACTGAACTGGCAACACATCTGCATGGTAAGTGGGAGTTGCAGGTTTGAATCCCACTCCTGGCAGATTCTTCTCTTTCAGAATATTCTAAATTACTTAATAAATATAAATTTAATTATAATTATTAAATTTGATAATAGCTGGCACTTAATACTTTACGCTAGTGTCAAATTATTCAGTAATAAATTAAATATAATCTGTGGTAAAGTAGCCTGATGTTAACCAGTGGTTGTTTGGCTTTACAAAATTTATTGAATTTCATGATGTTTGTTTATTTAAAGAATGAGATACTGAAAAATGAAAATCAGGTCAAAAGCTTGCTTAATCTTCAGATTAATTAAGTTCAAAGAGTATTTCTTACACGGCAACAATCAATTTATTATTAAGAAAACTTCAGTGTTTTAATTTTAACAACTTTTTGAATAAAGTGAAAATTTTATAAAGATAAATTAAACTATTAAATTTATCACAAAAATAATATAATTTAATATCTCAATCTCAACTGTACCCCACACACAATGCTTACTCAAGTAAGAAATCCTCTTCCCAAATTGGATCTGGAGGACATTTTACTTGTGTCCTACATACTTTTACTTGATTCAAAGAAATTATGCAAAAAGGATGTGGAACTAGTCTAACAGGCAAACGATGTGCTTCTAACAATGTCAGATGTAAACTACGAACTTCAGTTACATTGTGACTAGGTCCTCGTCCACGAGGAAGTTGTGGAGCACAAAGTGGTTTAATTGCTTGAATCCATTCCTGTAAAATAAGAATTTAAATATTTTTAATTTATCAGATTAAAGCATTAATTTTTATATCAAATCAGTATATGCTATTTAGAAAAAAATTGTTTATTACTGTAATTTCATGTAGATATACTGGTTTGGTTTATATGAAGCAGGTTATACCCATAAGAAGTTGCTAGAATTGAAAGTGTCTTCACAAACCCACAGTAACATATGCTTACTCTTGGAAAAGAATCATTGAAAACCTAAACACTTACAAATATTCAATTTAGAAGATACAGTACCAAACCAAATATATGGCAACTTTGGAACTGCAAGTGGACAAGATTTTTGGAATTTTCTGGATACAGGCTAAATATGTACTTAAAGTAAAAAATGGAAATGGAAAGAAAAAAACATAATAACTGTATTTAATACACCATCTGCCAAACTGTCACAATTTTGTCAAAATGGTGTTGTGTGATGCTTTTGGCAAAACTATGAAGTGGCCTTGCAATAAACCACAATCGTACTAAGGCCTATCAAATTCAACTAGTCAATTTTTTTGTTAATTCCAGATTTCTGGAAGCTAGATATTTAGTTTGGTACATTATCATCTTAAACATTCCTTTTATTTCTGTTTCTTCCATTTTACTTCCATTTGCAATTCATTGAAGCTCTGCTTATAATATAGTCATCCAATGACTATCATTTGCTTCATTTTTGTTTTGTTTATCATATACTATTGTTTAGTGATGTGCCAGATATCTGTATCTGTGGATATCCAAGGGAAGAAAAGATCCATATCCATATTCGTTACTTTTTAGTGGATCTTTAATGGATCTTTTATCTTAATAAATTTCATTACTTATATAAAATTTTAAAGATAGGTAGCAATAAAATACTAATAACTTCAATTCAAATCACTTTTTATTTCTTAAAAATCACATATTTGGCACATTCATATCGCAAAAATTTTATCATGCAAAATTCATTTACTATCATAAAATATCTCCATATTGTCAACAAAAAAGTTTAGTAGTATAGTTTTTATTTTAATTTAACTCAATACTTTCCAAAAATACAAACTTAATCTATGCTATCCCTAAACTATAAACAAAAATACGTGCAATGCAAGTCAAAACACATCACGTTACTAATGCAAAGTGAAAACTATCAGTCCAAGGTCACAAGCACCGATGCCGACTGAATATGAAAGTTGAGATTCGTATCCGCGGATCTAGACACTAATGATCTGTATCTGTGGATATACATTTTTAACGATCCGACACATAACTATTATTAATAAAATACATAACAGTAATATGCTAAAATACACATAAGGAAATTAAATTTAATTATTATTATCCAAAGACTACCTCAAAGATCAATTGTGCAACTCTAATTCACTGTAAAGAATTATGATATAGTATCAGTCCTCAACATATGATGAAATCATATATTGAGGACTGATACTTACTTCATGTCAACTAAATGATCTTAACTCTAATGACACTAGTGTGAGAGATTTAAAGGTTTATATTTCTTCTGTTTTTGCTTTATTAGAACAGAAATTGGCTGTAATAGTGTTAGAACAAAAGAACAATGTTTTATCCAAGCAAACACCTTGAGATAATTTTGTACTAGGTGCAATTTTTTACAATAATTTAGATGACAGTCAATTTTTTTTTCTTAGGAGTTTTTCTTTGGTAAAGATAAGCTTGGCACTTCGAAACAGTACCTACCACATTTTCATTATTGTTTCCTGCAATTTGCTTTGAAGCACCAAGCTTATCTTTACCAAAGAAAAACTAAGAAAAAATTTGACTGTCATCTAAATTGTCATAATTTTATACTTGGGGCAATTTTTTACATCTCGGATGTTTTTGCTTGGATATCAATTATTTTTTGGCCAATGATTATGTTATTACATCAAGATGTAAAACCACAATATAGTTTGGTTGGTGCTTGGCAATGGCCATCAATCAAATGCTTTCAATAGGTTGTGAGTAAAACTGTTATAAAAAGTTTTAATTCACATAAATGAGACTTATTGTTCTGGATAACATTTTAATTAAAAAGATCATTCACTTCAATGCAATTTTATCCTTATGAGCATAAAATTAAGTGATAAAAGTAAAGTAACTCTATGGGGAACCCTCGTAAATTTTGACCTATTGACCCAGAAGTTTTTCCAGCACCTCATTGATAACAAGAAAGGCTTAAGTTTAAAATCTGAGCTTTCTAGAACCAGTAGTTTCTCTAGAAGTGTCCGCAGTGCCTGATGAAGGAAAAGAAGAAAGTTCAGCTTTTTTGGTAAATTTTGCACTTTTTGATTACTTAAATTTCAGTAATTCCTATTTAGAAAAAATTGAAATTTTCCACACTACTTAAGAAAACAATTATCTTTTGAATAAGATATTCAGAATTATCATAATTGTTGGAGTAAAGAAATCAACTCCCAAAAATTGGTAAAGCAGATTTCTGTGACTTCTTCACTTAACATGGAATCACTGCCATCACTCAATTACAATCAATTTCAACAGATTGTGAATTTAGAGATAGGAAACAGTAATATAAAGGCAAGTGTTAAAATTGTTGTCAAAAATCAGCATGCAAGCATGAGAAAATTTTTCTTTTTGGAGTGATAGGAAATTAACTGCAAATTTGTTATTAAAGTTTATGTATTTAATCACTTAATTCCTTGAAGAATTAGATCCAATTGATTAATCTATAAATTATTTAAATTATAAAAGATAGCAATATAAAATGGTAGATGCTAAATTATCTAAATCTAATAAGTTAGCTCAGGGGTGGTCAACAGTTTTTGCCCCCAGGCCGGATTGGAAAGAAAATTTTCCACGGGCCAAACTAGAGGCTGCCCTAGGAAGATTTTGAGGTGGTGTGAGATCTCATTGTGGTGTCACCCTGTACAGACTGAACTGTAGATAGAGATTACAGATACATTTTCACATTATCATGTTTTATTAACACCTGCTCTACGCTGTACTTACGAGATTTGTAATGGAGGGTTAACTCTAAACGCACAGTGAGTTGTTGATTTTTTTTTAAGGCATCAAAATTTTTAATTGAGCGATTTGGACTTCAATAACTAATATTGAAAGATTGATCGCGGGCCACAAATTCATTAGATGGGCCGGATCTGGCCTGTGGGCCATATGTTGGCCATGCCTGAGTTAGCTTATGTTTCAGTTGTTAATGCCTCTGTATGAAGTGAAATTCTAAAAAAATGTCCATAAAAATAGTAACAAAATAATGAAAGGGAAATTAGGGTTAAATGACATAAGAATGTCATTTAACTTATCCTCTGATCAGGCTCCAAACAGCTGGAAAAGCAGAAAGTTGTTGCCAATTTTAAGAGAAAATAAGAAAACCCTTTTACTAATTTGTCTAAGAGATGATATGCTTTTTATGGAAAACAGTTTTCACAATCTCACTTTCATCTAATGAACTAGTAGATATAATTTGAAAAAAAAAAAGCTGCCAGAACAAAAAATTTAATTTACAAAATTTAAGAAAACAATACAAAAATAAGTCTCACTTATTTTCCACATATGCAGGACAAGTGAGAAGACATTTTTGTATTGTCTAAGAAATATCTACTAAATTTACAAAATTTAGAAACAAAGTTTATAAATTTTTGGTTTTCAAACATAACAGCATTTGATACCTATAATCATTCATAAAATTTAAATTAATTTAGCTTTACTTTTGGATTTGCTTCAATACATTATACACAATTGTTTTTAACTCAAATTTTAAACAATTTTGTATTAATAAAAATTTTTTAGAAGCTTTTCCACAAATCATTTATTTATGATAAGTAAAAATAAAACTACAAAAATCAAAAAATTTATCNTACTAGAGGTAGACATTAGATGCAATATCTTATCTAAATTAATAATTATAATTTTTAATAAATTTATTAAATAATTTAGAACCATTTGGAAGAAAAAAACTAGCCCGGAGTAAGGCTAAAACTTGCAACCTCCGCTTGCTGTGCTGTGCATTTGCCACCCAGACCTCCAAGCAGTTCTTCACTTCCAGACTTATTTGAACTTTAGAAATAACCTTACATGATTACTTGCTGCGCCAGCTGGATGTATGGTTCGAATACACCTGAAAGTGAAAAATTGCTTGGAGGCCCAAATGGCATAACTGGCACTGCATGGTAAGCAGAGATTGCAGATTCAAGCCCCACTCCAGACTAGTTCTCTTCTTCCAGATGGTTCAAAATTATTTAATAAATTTATTAAAAATTATAATTATTAATTTAGATGAGGTGGCACCCAATGTCTACCTCTAGTACCAAATTATTTAGTATCTAATCATTAATAATAGCAGATTTATAGCCCAAATAATTAAAGTGATCATTTGGTTGAGTATGGTTGTACCTAAATTAATAGTTCTGGAAATGAAAATTGGATGAAAGACTGAGTAGCGTAACTGACAATGCAGCCACATGACATATGAGAGTTGCAGGTTCAAATCCCACTTCAGGTCAATTCTTTTCTTCCAGTACCTTCTAAATTAATTATTAGAACATTAATTATAATTATTAGATTTATCAAGAGATGGTACATAACACCTATCTCTAGGCCAAATTATTTGACATTTAATTAGTAATTAATTGTTATATTATAAATATATAATACATGACAATCTATCAAATTACTACAGTAATAAAAAAATAATTAGGCAAAACAGATTCCAACTGCCAACTTTTGAAAATCTATCTAAAAGTCAAAAAAATCTGGTACAGTACAAAACTGATCTGTACTAGTTCAAGTTTCAGGAGCTAACAGTTTCAATGTTATCAAAATTATTGTCAATACTGGAAATATTCTAAAATCATCCATAATTGTCTCTACTTTGCCAGAAAAATTCCAAATTGACAACCGTTTGGATAACTTATCTATTTTACAGTTTTATAAAATTTTATTTATATAAATTACACTATAGAAAATTATTTTTAATATAAGCAATAGATAACCTTATAAATAATAATTATTTTACATTTTGATGATATGAATATACACATAAATTACACAATATATACATAAATTACACACAATATACAAAATATCATACACAATATATACATAAATTATTTTACATTTTAATATATGCATAGTTACATTTAAATAAAGTTATATATATTTTTTTATAATTGATAATGTCCTTTTGAATTATAAAAGTTGTATTTTCACTCAATCATTCATTTAAATCCAAAGAAATCAGTTGTCACCAAAGCTATCAATTTTACATTTCATTATTCTAAATTTTCAGTTTAGTTTAAGAAGATTCTATAAACAAAATAAAAAAAAAAGGAAAAATTGACTTTTCAATTTATCTATAACTAGCAGACCACGCCATGCCTTGTTGTGGCTCAAAATGTATCTATTATAAATGTATAACACTTCCCCCGTGGGGGAAAATTTTTCGAAAAATTTTTTCTTAGTGTACATTCTCTTGACGTACCCTATTAAAACGCAATCAAAAACGCAAAAACCTGCATCTAAAATAGTATAATAGAAGCCAAGTTTTTCACAGTAAGCCTTAATCCTGTCCCTCTCCCCTGCAGGGGAATATCAAAAAATCCCTTCTTAGTGAACATTCTGTTGATGTACTCTATTAAAACGCAATCAAAAATGCCAAAAATCACATCTAAAATAGTATAAATAGAAGCAGAGTTCTTTACGGTAAGCCTTACAGGGAAGGCTTACCATAAAGAACTGTCCATCTCCCACGTTTAACGAAATAATATATAGCCTATGTCCACCCTGAAGTTCCATTCTAAATATTGGCGAAAGAATTTTTGAAATCGGATGAGTAGTTTCGGAGATTACCTGCTGTATACAAACTAACATACAAACATTACCTCTTTATAATATTAGTATAGATAAAGATATTAATTCAAAAATCAGGGCAAGAGAAATATCTCAAGATTTTGACTTCCCTCTTATGTAAAGAATTTGGTTGATATGAAAAATAAAATTAGTTTTATAGTTCAATAGTATTATGAAGTCCCAACATCACTAGCTATTTTGGAATTGACAACTCAGCATGGTGTTTATTGGCTGTTGAAAACAAAGGAGTTGACATCTCAGACCCATTTCAGGAATCTTAGCAAGTGGGATAAAGTCAAAATATTGCAGTGTTTGAATCACTGTAAAAATATACATGATTTTAATCTTATTTTTACTGATATCAATATTGCTCAGTTTTTGGTTGTAATCCAGCATTAACCAAATCATTCTTTAATGCGGAATTTGATTAACACTGAAATTAATTGCAACAATCTCATATATAGTGGCAAGAGTTTTGATTAACATACCTTATGCAAAACCTTTGCATACCTTTATGCAAAAAAATGCAAGTCTCAAGGACTTCTGACTGAGAGAAATTAAGTCATGAACATGACAATATCATTTCTCCCATGCAGAGGCACTTCCAGAGCCTGAGACCCAGCCAGTTACTTTGCTGCCAGCATTAAAAAAAAAAAAAAAAAACCCGATGTATTACAAGCTTCCAATTGTTCTACTATAATTACAAATTACATTCTTTGTAAATTTAAACCTATTGATCAAAACATGTTTGTTCTAGGTCTAGAGTGTCATTTTGCTCGTTATTGCAAAGTTTATGCTGATATTTAAACAGTGTTAGTTTTTTCTTAATTCTTGATAACATTTTCTCTAGCAACAGTAACTAATGTAGGTACAAGCATTTATTAAATATTTACTTTACATTCATTTTTTTATTTTTTCTAAAAGAGTACAGAACTATATAAGTGAATTCATTAATATAGTAATCAATCATGGACAAATGCAATTTTGATATACATGATAACATTGAGGGATTAATTAATTATGCATTATAATATTTTTATTTGACACAAGTTTTCAACAGATTAAAATTAAAAAAATTATTCTTTAAAGCTGGAACTGCTATACAAATTGAAAATAAACTGACCTTTTGTATATTTCCAGCCATTGATATAAATAAAAATGTATTTGTTTATATCAATGGCATTGCTGCAAACATATAAAAGGTCAGTTTATTTTCAATTTGTAGATTCAAATTAGAAAAAAACAAATGGAGATCATTATTTACAGAACAAAACAACATTGGGGATGATAGTGTTTTCAGAACATTTTCGCAAAGATATTTAGCTAGGTAAATATAACTACTTAAAAATGTATTTTTATGAATTTCTTATTAACTTATCAATAAACAGATGAAATACTTGAAGCCTAACATAATTCTTACACATAAGATCACTCAGAAGAACAAATTCACTTAATAAAGCAAAATGTAGTGTGGCTACAAATAAACACAAACTTGTTTATAGATATTAAAAACTGCAATATGTTTATATCCTTTTCTTTACAGTTAGTTTATACTGTCCATTAATGCTCATCTTTTCACAACTTCATTGAAATTTTGTCAAGATTAGAAACAAGCAAATTATATACAATTGTTGGATGATGATTTGCTAAGTTTATTTCCATTTTCTACTGTTAATCCACATATTATTAATAAACCAACAAATGCCTAAATAATCAGGCTATAATATGGCTATAATTAAATAATAAATACAAATGAATTTGGTATAGAGGTAAGATTAGGTGCCATCTCTTATCTTACCTCTATACCAAATTCATTTGTATTTATTATTTAATTACAGCCATATTATAGCCTGATTATTTAGGCATTTGTTGGTTTATTTATATATCATTGGACTTTGAGATGTATTATATTTATCCATATATTATATGACCAACATTAAAAACCACTTTACCTTTAATTGGTTTCAAATTACCTATAATAGTTATTATATCACTTGTGTAATTTTAATGTCTAATAAACAAATACCTCGTAAACAATCTCTTAGTATTCAAACATCAAAATTTATCTTTACAAAATGGTTCTGCATATGGAATGGTATAAGTGCTGACACCTATAGGGCTTTCTGACTGCAAAACCATATTTTGGCTGCTGTCTAACTCTGTAGTAGTATGCCAACATCATGTGTTGTTTTTAAACCATAATTCATAGCACATAAACACAGGAAATGCATCAATTGAATAGAAATTTTGTAGAGAATTTTCTTTCCCAAATTAAGAAATATTAAAATAACTTAAAGGATTTAGTTATAAAAGACCAAACAGTTAAGAAAACATTAGATCTTAAATGGGTCTGAATAATAGGAAGGATCAGGCTTTTTAGTACTAAATAATTATAAAACTTATTTTAAAAAATTAAGCTTTAACTTGGTTATAAAAAATTTTTTTCAAGAGAAAATTAGGTTTGTCTAAATACACACTTTTCAGAAAACAAAAAAATTCTAGATAATCTTTTTGTATTTTAGAATATTCCTTAAATTTAAAAATAAAACTGGATTTTTTAAATTTTGGAATGTTAAAGTTTTGTTAATTTTTATTTTAAATTAATATTCAATAATGAAGAATTCACATCATTATATTTGAATAATTCCTTAATTTCTAAAGTCACTCTCATTTGAACTAGAAAAAATTTTAGGATATGAAATATTTTTAATTAATTTCTATGCTTATAGTTAGTTCTATCACTATAAATTCTAACAAAGCATTGCATACAAAAATTTAACTACTATGTAATGTTATAGAACTCAGATTAATTTTGATAACATTCTCTAAAAATTCTTACATATATCAAGAAATTATTATTTATATATATATAATTAAATTATAAATAAATTTACTGAACAGTAGAATATTACATATTAACTTATATTGAATATTATTTGTAATATCTTTTACTGTAAAAAAGTATACCTATTTCCATATCTTTAGATCGTTTTCCTTTATTATATAATGTTATGGTAAATGATTTGATATCTGATGGCAAATCTCTAAGAAAAAAAAAATATATATTTTTGTTAAATCTTACAAATTTCAATAAAATATTTAAACATGCAAAATATAAATATCAAATAATACTCAAAAAAAAAAAAAAAAAAAAAAAAAAAAAAAAAAAAAAAAAAAAAAAAAAAAAAAAAAAAAAAAAAAAAAAAAAAAAAAAAAAAAAAAAAAAAAAAAAAAAAAAAAAAAAAAAAAANTGTTTTAATTTTAACAACTTTTTGAATAAAGTGAAAATTTTATAAAGATAAATTAAACTATTAAATTTATCACAAAAATAATATAATTTAATATCTCAATCTCAACTGTACCCCACACACAATGCTTACTCAAGTAAGAAATCCTCTTCCCAAATTGGATCTGGAGGACATTTTACTTGTGTCCTACATACTTTTACTTGATTCAAAGAAATTATGCAAAAAGGATGTGGAACTAGTCTAACAGGCAAACGATGTGCTTCTAACAATGTCAGATGTAAACTACGAACTTCAGTTACATTGTGACTAGGTCCTCGTCCACGAGGAAGTTGTGGAGCACAAAGTGGTTTAATTGCTTGAATCCATTCCTGTAAAATAAGAATTTAAATATTTTTAATTTATCAGATTAAAGCATTAATTTTTATATCAAATCAGTATATGCTATTTAGAAAAAAATTGTTTATTACTGTAATTTCATGTAGATATACTGGTTTGGTTTATATGAAGCAGGTTATACCCATAAGAAGTTGCTAGAATTGAAAGTGTCTTCACAAACCCACAGTAACATATGCTTACTCTTGGAAAAGAATCATTGAAAACCTAAACACTTACAAATATTCAATTTAGAAGATACAGTACCAAACCAAATATATGGCAACTTTGGAACTGCAAGTGGACAAGATTTTTGGAATTTTCTGGATACAGGCTAAATATGTACTTAAAGTAAAAAATGGAAATGGAAAGAAAAAAACATAATAACTGTATTTAATACACCATCTGCCAAACTGTCACAATTTTGTCAAAATGGTGTTGTGTGATGCTTTTGGCAAAACTATGAAGTGGCCTTGCAATAAACCACAATCGTACTAAGGCCTATCAAATTCAACTAGTCAATTTTTTTGTTAATTCCAGATTTCTGGAAGCTAGATATTTAGTTTGGTACATTATCATCTTAAACATTCCTTTTATTTCTGTTTCTTCCATTTTACTTCCATTTGCAATTCATTGAAGCTCTGCTTATAATATAGTCATCCAATGACTATCATTTGCTTCATTTTTGTTTTGTTTATCATATACTATTGTTTAGTGATGTGCCAGATATCTGTATCTGTGGATATCCAAGGGAAGAAAAGATCCATATCCATATTCGTTACTTTTTAGTGGATCTTTAATGGATCTTTTATCTTAATAAATTTCATTACTTATATAAAATTTTAAAGATAGGTAGCAATAAAATACTAATAACTTCAATTCAAATCACTTTTTATTTCTTAAAAATCACATATTTGGCACATTCATATCGCAAAAATTTTATCATGCAAAATTCATTTACTATCATAAAATATCTCCATATTGTCAACAAAAAAGTTTAGTAGTATAGTTTTTATTTTAATTTAACTCAATACTTTCCAAAAATACAAACTTAATCTATGCTATCCCTAAACTATAAACAAAAATACGTGCAATGCAAGTCAAAACACATCACGTTACTAATGCAAAGTGAAAACTATCAGTCCAAGGTCACAAGCACCGATGCCGACTGAATATGAAAGTTGAGATTCGTATCCGCGGATCTAGACACTAATGATCTGTATCTGTGGATATACATTTTTAACGATCCGACACATAACTATTATTAATAAAATACATAACAGTAATATGCTAAAATACACATAAGGAAATTAAATTTAATTATTATTATCCAAAGACTACCTCAAAGATCAATTGTGCAACTCTAATTCACTGTAAAGAATTATGATATAGTATCAGTCCTCAACATATGATGAAATCATATATTGAGGACTGATACTTACTTCATGTCAACTAAATGATCTTAACTCTAATGACACTAGTGTGAGAGATTTAAAGGTTTATATTTCTTCTGTTTTTGCTTTATTAGAACAGAAATTGGCTGTAATAGTGTTAGAACAAAAGAACAATGTTTTATCCAAGCAAACACCTTGAGATAATTTTGTACTAGGTGCAATTTTTTACAATTTAGATGACAGTCAATTTTTTTTTCTTAGGAGTTTTTCTTTGGTAAAGATAAGCTTGGCACTTCGAAACAGTACCTACCACATTTTCATTATTGTTTCCTGGATTTTGCTTTGAAGCACCAAGCTTATCTTTACCAAAGAAAAACTAAGAAAAAATTTGACTGTCATCTAAATTGTCATAATTTTATACTTGGGGCAATTTTTTACATCTCGGATGTTTTTGCTTGGATATCAATTATTTTTTGGCCAATGATTATGTTATTACATCAAGATGTAAAACCACAATATAGTTTGGTTGGTGCTTGGCAATGGCCATCAATCAAATGCTTTCAATAGGTTGTGAGTAAAACTGTTATAAAAAGTTTTAATTCACATAAATGAGACTTATTGTTCTGGATAACATTTTAATTAAAAAGATCATTCACTTCAATGCAATTTTATCCTTATGAGCATAAAATTAAGTAACTCTATGGGGAACCCTCGTAAATTTTGACATATTGACCCAGAAGTTTTGCAGCACCTCATTGATAACAAGAAAGGCTTAAGTTTAAAATCTGAGCTTTCTAGAACCAGTAGTTTCTCTAGAAGTGTCCGCAGTGCCTGATGAAGGAAAAGAAGAAAGTTCAGCTTTTTTGGTAAATTTTGCACTTTTTGATTACTTAAATTTCAGTAATTCCTATTTAGAAAAAATTGAAATTTTCCACACTACTTAAGAAAACAATTATCTTTTGAATAAGATATTCAGAATTATCATAATTGTTGGAGTAAAGAAATCAACTCCCAAAAATTGGTAAAGCAGATTTCTGTGACTTCTTCACTTAACATGGAATCACTGCCATCACTCAATTACAATCAATTTCAACAGATTGTGAATTTAGAGATAGGAAACAGTAATATAAAGGCAAGTGTTAAAATTGTTGTCAAAAATCAGCATGCAAGCATGAGAAAATTTTTTCTTTTTGGAGTGATAGGAAATTAACTGCAAATTTGTTATTAAAGTTTATGTATTTAATCACTTAATTCCTTGAAGAATTAGATCCAATTGATTAATCTATAAATTATTTAAATTATAAAAGATAGCAATATAAAATGGTAGATGCTAAATTATCTAAATCTAATAAGTTAGCTCAGGGGTGGTCAACAGTTTTTGCCCCCAGGCCGGATTGGAAAGAAAATTTTCCACGGGCCAAACTAGAGGCTGCCCTAGGAAGATTTTGAGGTGGTGTGAGATCTCATTGTGGTGTCACCCTGTACAGACTGAACTGTAGATAGAGATTACAGATACATTTTCACATTATCATGTTTTATTAACACCTGCTCTACGCTGTACTTACGAGATTTGTAATGGAGGGTTAACTCTAAACGCACAGTGAGTTGTTGATTTTTTTTTAAGGCATCAAAATTTTTAATTGAGCGATTTGGACTTCAATAACTAATATTGAAAGATTGATCGCGGGCCACAAATTCATTAGATGGGCCGGATCTGGCCTGTGGGCCATATGTTGGCCATGCCTGAGTTAGCTTATGTTTCAGTTGTTAATGCCTCTGTATGAAGTGAAATTCTAAAAAAATGTCCATAAAAATAGTAACAAAATAATGAAAGGGAAATTAGGGTTAAATGACATAAGAATGTCATTTAACTTATCCTCTGATCAGGCTCCAAACAGCTGGAAAAGCAGAAAGTTGTTGCCAATTTTAAGAGAAAATAAGAAAACCCTTTTACTAATTTGTCTAAGAGATGATATGCTTTTTATGGAAAACAGTTTTCACAATCTCACTTTCATCTAATGAACTAGTAGATATAATTTGAAAAAAAAAAAGCTGCCAGAACAAAAAATTTAATTTACAAAATTTAAGAAAACAATACAAAAATAAGTCTCACTTATTTTCCACATATGCAGGACAAGTGAGAAGACATTTTTGTATTGTCTAAGAAATATCTACTAAATTTACAAAATTTAGAAACAAAGTTTATAAATTTTTGGTTTTCAAACATAACAGCATTTGATACCTATAATCATTCATAAAATTTAAATTAATTTAGCTTTACTTTTGGATTTGCTTCAATACATTATACACAATTGTTTTTAACTCAAATTTTAAACAATTTTGTATTAATAAAAATTTTTTAGAAGCTTTTCCACAAATCATTTATTTATGATAAGTAAAAATAAAACTACAAAAATCAAAAAATTTATCATTATCTTGCATAAGACTTTATACAGAAAACCATAATTTATTAATAAAAAATTTAATTTAGTGATATGAATTTTTAGTATTGTTAAGATTATTACTTACCTGTGCCAAATCAGGTGAACTGGCACATAAATAATATACAGTACTGATACAAGGTAATGCTCTTTCTACCAATTGAAAACAATTTGGTCTACAAAATAAAAATATATATTTTTGTAAGTGTAATTAAGTCTTTAAATTAAACCACTCAAAGTTATATAAAATTAAAAAGATTTTCAAATTAATTAAAAATTAGTTGATTAAAAAAAAAAACTTACAAAAAATCATACCTTTCAAATAGACTATCATGAACCATGTATAAATATGTGTAACTGAGTTCAATGAGACCCTTTGGTTTTGTTCTCTAAATAAAAATTAATAAAGTGCAAAAAAGAAAAAAATTCAATAATCTGAATTAAAACGTTGAAAAGTTAAAAATAAACTTTTATGCAACTATTTTTATTATTATTTAAAATAAAATTTATTTTTATGTGAATTTATTATTTTACAATAAAAAAATGTTAAGTAGATTTGAAATGAAATCATTTGTGACAAAATTAACAAAAATATTTATTTAATTATGAAAATAAGTAAAATTTTAAAGTGAATATATTAATTAAAATGAAGCCAAAATTTATTAAATTGAATACTTCTTTTGTAACTCAAAATATCTAAATATTTATATTAAAAATCCCAATATGTCTTATCAAACTGTAACTTTCTATCCAAGATAGAAAAACTATCATCATTACATTAAAATCAGATTTTTCCCCCCTTATGTTATATTAAATTAAAATATTAAAAATCAAATCATTTTAAAAACTTACATTTTTTTACTCTTTTATTCATTGTATTATTATATGCATTTTATAAAGAACAAAATTATAGTTGTACAGTGGAACCTTGCTTAACGAGCACCTCGCATAAGGAGCAAAACAAATTGTAAAAAAATGACTCGTTTAACGAGCAATGGTTCGCATAACAAGTGAAGAAAAGAGGGGAAGTCCCAGACTGTGCACACGCTCCATCAGTCTGTGTTTAGCATTCATTCTGTTAGCATCTTAGCATCACTTATGATTACACATTTTTCCAAACTTGTGTTCAGACATATTGCATCAACCACCATAGCCCGTTATATAATAAGCACACCAAATGATATGCCAAGTTCTTGGGCTATGTAGAGGCTATAATAATTAAATATTAGAAATTAGTTAATTTGACTAAAGATAGGCAGTTATACCACCATCTCATATTAATGACTAATTCCAAATTAAATTTAATAAGGAGGTGGCAGCATAACTGACTATCTCTAGTCAAATGAATTAATTTCTAATAAAGAGGTTGCAGCCAAAGTTTTCATCTCTAAAACGTGAATGTCGAATGTTGAGCACCGCCATCTTGTAAGTCTATAAGTTTCACAATGGTGTTTGGAATGTTGAGCATGATTCCAATGATGTTCCAAATGCCATTGTCAAACTTCTAGGCTTACAAGATAGCGGCACTCAACGTTGGACATTCATGTTTTAGAGATGAAAACTTCGGCCGCAACCTGTAATATTTAATTATATCCTTTATATAGCTCAAGCTTTTTGCATATCTTTTGGCATGTTTATCAGACATATTATCTGAGATTATTATTTGTTTTCTACATATCAAATTTGCATTTCAGGTTGGTTCATTTCATGCTAGAAGAAATGATGATGATGATTCACATGCCTTAACAATGTATATCGTATAATTTTCTTTCAATAAACGTTATACATAAAATATCCGAGTATTTTTTTGGCATCTAAAGCATTATCGTATTTTACACTAATTTATATGGGAAAAACTGTTTTGCTTAATGAGTTTTGCATTACGAATAAGATTCTGGAACAAGTTCTGCTCATTAAGCAAGGTTCCATTGTATATTTAAATGGTTCTATTAAAATGAATATAAGAGTTTATAATTTTGCTAGTGAACTAAGAAATTAGTAATAATTAAATTCAGTTTTAAGTTGAAATACATCATAAAAAATTGCAAGGTTATTACCAGTTAATCAGCTTGTTTGAACAAAACAAGAAAGAAACTTATGCTAAACTGTTTTTCTTTTTTGCTATACATTCTTCAATGAATATCTCATGGATATTTATATGCCAACTGCTTTTAAATATATTCTAAGAAATCAAAAGGTTCTCTCTAGAAATTTAAATTACAATAGTTATTATGTACTAATTAAAATTTCCCCAGTTTAAGAATACATAATACAAATCTGCAAACAAAGTCATTCAAATTTTAATAAGCTTTTTATAACATGATGAACACTTCAAAATTGTAAATTATACTAATAAAAATAACTGTTTTTACAAAATTTTAAAAAATTCTTAACTGAAGTTTTAATATAGAAAAGTAACTTTAAAAAACCTGTAGAACAAAACAATTGGATTTCAACTTTTGTATTTTATTTTGCCTGTTACTGAATAAAACTGAATTAAAAAAATGAACATGGAAAAAAACTTAAGTAAAATTAAATATACTAGAATACTAAGTTAAAAAATATACTAGATGCACTAGTTTTACCAATAAATTTCAATTTCTGTTTGAACTTAACTGTTAGTTTCAGTTTTTATATTTTCATTAAGTTTGATAGTCATTAAACATAAAGTCATCACGTTATTAATTACATTTTCAGTCACAATACTTTGAATTTAGTTGTGGGACTCAAACCAACAACAGCTGCTTACTGTGCGGATATGTTGCCAGTAACAGTACCAGGACCTCCATCCAATCTGCTGAAGGTTCAAGTCCCCATTCAATTATTAATAGTAGCAGTAATAGAGTCTGATATATTAAAGCCAAATGATTGCAGGATTAGAACATAAACAAAACATCTTTAAACCTGATTAATTTCCATTATTTTTGTTTTAATCTGAAATAAAATAAATAAAATAGAAAAAAACAATTTCAGAGAATTAAAAATACTTTTCTATTGTTGTATTCTTTTTATCACATTCACTATATTTCTACCCTTCAATAAATGGTCATTTTAAACCAAATGTCCTGCATACTCTATAGTACTTCTACTTAAAGTATCTCCAGTTGGAAAATGTTAACACAAACTTATTCATGTTACTCTAATATTTTGAATACTTATAAAAATATATCCTATCAGTTCCAGAGTGAAGAAACATTTAGACAGAATACTAAAATATAATATTTTCGGAATCAATATGTTATTCAAATTTTTTGAGAACTTATATTGTGTTAGCTGATTAAATTCACCAGTTGAAATAATAAAATATCAAAATGACATCAACTGATTTTTCTCTATATTGGGAACTGATAAGCTTGTTGCTTTACTCTTCACATGGGTGAGTACATTTGTGACAAAAAGAAGATTTTAAACTAAGTTTCCCTTAAAACTTTCAGATATATCATACATCATTACTATTTAATTTTTTATATTTTACAATTTTGAGATTTGTTTTGCAGTTAATATTAAGTAAATAAATAAAAAAAAATTAATATTTTATTTATATGAGTGCGATAGAGTTATAGCAGAAAAGTATCATTAATCTGATGATCAAAACTGGTTGTTTCAATTTCAAAACAGTTCTCAAATTCTCCAGATAGCATTTAGTCCTTATTTTCACTTATTTTATTCCTTTATGTTTGTTTAACAACATACAGAGAAATCTTAGAACACTACAATCTAAGGAAGATAAAAATATGACCTAAAAATTATATATTATTGGAAGAGGTCATGAAAGCAAGAATGGATAAAATTCATTTGTTAATTTGGACTTCTTTCAAACACTTGATTTGCTTAATTCTGACAGCTTCTGAATGCTTCTTCTCTCATTAAAAGTAATAAATATATTTTTACTGACAAACAAATTGATTTTTTTATTGTTTGTATTGGAAGTTTAAAGCACTGATGAATTTTATGATGGTTGGTCAAAGATTGATCTTTCACAGGGAGTATGTTGAACAGAGGTTCAAAATCAATCTCAATCATATGTTCAGAAAAACTCAAATTTAATAAAAAAATAATTTAAAAAAATATATTATAAAGATGCTGGTTATGAAAAAGAAAAAATTATTTTTTATTCAAATATGTTGCAATACAATTATCTAAAATTAGTAATCTTTGTAATTTCATATTTAAAAAATTGAAAATTTCATTATTTATTTTCAAAATAATTTTATGCTTTATTGAAATTTATAATGAAGATGACTTACTACTGACTTAAAAGAAACAACAAGACTTACTCTAGGTGTATCAAAAAATAATAACTGCTGTTCTTTTGAACTTAAAACAAAATATAGATTTTTCCATTTTCTGTTTCCTTGACCTAAATAAAAAATAGATTTAAATAATTTTTAAAACTAAGTAAATACAATATTAAAATAAAAAAAAAAGTCAGATAGTTATGCTGTAATAAAAATATTCTTTAAATGAAAAAAAATTTCTTAAAAGTATATTTTATTATAAATAGTCATTCAGAAATTTAAAATAAAATTTATTTAAAAGTCATACAACTACACAGAGTAATATGATAATTCTTGAATATTAGAATGAAAAACTGCTAAATGATATTATTTAGTAAAACCAAAAATAAAGTTGCATAGAAAAAAATAAATAATAAAAATAAATGAAAAAAAAATTATGAGCTTTTATAAGAGCAAAAATGAGCTGGAAACAAATAAGAGAAATAAAATCTTACTTTTCTTGTTAAGATAGCCTTTCATACGAATTCCTTTATTTCGTTTCGCTAATCCAGTCTCTCTACTTTCTTTTAACGTAGCATATATATCTTGTGATTTATGCTGAACTTCTTCAGCCTTACTGAGTTCTTTTGATTCATAAGGTGCCTAAATAAAGTTTTATTAAAAATAAATAAAAATTTTACATTTATTTTCTAAAACCATTTTAATGTGTAATCCACATGACAAAAACTAAATTATGTACTGTTTAAATAAATATATTACATGAATAAGAATTTATATTATATAATCTATAGCAATTTTACTATAAAATTTTACTCTATTTTAATTCTACTTTTAAAGATTTACAGAATACTTTGACTTTATTTTCTAATTTATTATTAAGAAATAATAGAAAATATTTATAACTAGCTAAGTAAGAAAAATTAAAACTTATTTGTCCCTAAATTGTGGAATGCAAAAATATCCATTAGAGAAATTGTAGATAACTTTGTTTCTTAGTAGTTGCAACTACTTATCTAAGATTATCCTTTCATCATTATCTTTTATTAAAACAATCTAAAAAATTTGTAGACCTCATTATTAAAACTTAAGAAAAGGAACAATGGAACAATACACTTTTTTAGACATTAAAAATGATACATGGCTCTTTGGAGAAAATGTAAAATTTGGATCTATAATGTAAAAACTGATAAATATTTATTACATAGGAAAAATTTTGAAAATTTAAAAAAAGTAACAAAAATATATACATTTAAATATCAGTTGATAGATGCAGTTTTACAAAATACAGAAATAAACTAAAATGAAATGCAAAATACGGAATTTACAAAACACAAGAAAAACAGTAGAAGCTTCAGAAATAAATGTAAAAAAGAATATGTAGATGAGTGTAAAAAAAATTGGAACAACATTAAGCAATTCATGCAAATGATTGTCTAGCTAAAGACCTAATCAACTGATATGATCCATCATTTGATGTTAGATCAATCAATGTTGCACTAATACCTTTTTTCATTTTAAATTTCTAAAGTTAATAATTATTTAATATAAACATTTAAAAACTAATTAAACTAGCATGGAATACATTTTTAAAATGATTTAAAATTTCAAATTTTAAACATAAAACATTAGTATTGAATTTTTCATAAACTGAAAAAAAGAACAAGTTGATGATGAACTAATTTAAACAAATATTTTGAGCTAAAAAATTTTAAAAATTTTACTGTGAAAATAGTAGAAATTGTTTTTCTACATTTAAACATTTTATAGTTAGTTAATAGAAGCCCATTTTTTTAAAAAATAAAAAACCTAATAACNTGGATCTATAATGTAAAAACTGATAAATATTTATTACATAGGAAAAATTTTGAAAATTTAAAAAAAGTAACAAAAATATATACATTTAAATATCAGTTGATAGATGCAGTTTTACAAAATACAGAAATAAACTAAAATGAAATGCAAAATACGGAATTTACAAAACACAAGAAAAACAGTAGAAGCTTCAGAAATAAATGTAAAAAAGAATATGTAGATGAGTGTAAAAAAAATTGGAACAACATTAAGCAATTCATGCAAATGATTGTCTAGCTAAAGACCTAATCAACTGATATGATCCATCATTTGATGTTAGATCAATCAATGTTGCACTAATACCTTTTTTCATTTTAAATTTCTAAAGTTAATAATTATTTAATATAAACATTTAAAAACTAATTAAACTAGCATGGAATACATTTTTAAAATGATTTAAAATTTCAAATTTTAAACATAAAACATTAGTATTGAATTTTTCATAAACTGAAAAAAAGAACAAGTTGATGATGAACTAATTTAAACAAATATTTTGAGCTAAAAAATTTTAAAAATTTTACTGTGAAAATAGTAGAAATTGTTTTTCTACATTTAAACATTTTATAGTTAGTTAATAGAAGCCCATTTTTTTAAAAAATAAAAAACCTAATAACTTATATTAATAAATCTAAAATACACAAACACACAATAAATTAATATAGTTTGTAAGTAACAGTTTTAAAATTAAAATAAAATATTTTCAAAAAAAGGAAAAAAATGCATTGAATTTATAGGAATAACAAAGATTCCGTTTTTAATTTTTTTTTTTCAGAAAATGACTTAAATAATGTTGAAAATGCATTATGATAAAAATAAAATGATATCTATAATATTATTTGCATTATTGAATTGTATCATATGAATGCTTTTGAAGCACTATTTTGCAAAGTATGCATCATTGTAATCCTCTAACAAAGTTTTTAAACCATTTTGCAAAAAATTACTTTTCACTAAAAACAGGATAACTTTTTAGAAACCTGGTCAGAAATATTTTTAAAATTGTGATAAATATTTTTAGAATTTTACACTCCAGCTTCAGATACTCCACTCCTCAAAACAAAAATTCAAAAGAAAACAAAACAATTTCAATTTTTCTTTAAATTGAAATGGGCTGGAATGTTAAATTTTGAAAAAACTTTGCTGATTTCTACCTGGTTTATAGTATATATTAAGCATTTATTTATTTATTTTTTTTTTTGTATTTTTCTTTAGGATAGTAACAAGTAAGACAGATTTAAGTAACTGTTAAAATCTTAAAACCAAAACAATTGTTATTAAAATTTTGCTATAAAAAATATATATATGTTACCGCTAAAGCTCGAAATCCGTTAATGTGTACATTACCTAGCTAATCTGCAAATTAACTAGAGTGATCCGTTAAAGCTGCAAAAATTATTCAATTTGTCAAATTACCTAGGTAATTTGCAGAGTATCTAGGTAATCTGCACATTAACGGTTTCCGTATCGTTAAAGTTCAAAAGTTTGTTTCTTTCACTTCCTTTCCCCACTCCTTCTTTTTACGTAGATAAATTTAAATCTTAGAATGCAAGCAAGCACCGAATTGGTGAGTAAAATCAAGAAAAGATTTTTTGCAAACCTCTTTAGCGAAGATTTAAAATATAATACGGGAAAAATAGTGTTTTAATAACAAACCAAAGTATGATTCCATAATTGAAGATGTAAAGCAAATAAAAGTTTCCAAGAAGAAAGAATCATCTTGAGATTATCAAATAATTCAAAGGTGTGATGTGTTGACTGTACAAGGCTGTTAAAAACTCATTGAGCTGTTGTCAGATGCGCGAGAAAGGTTTGAAAAAGTTTGACATTCGATAAAAACTGAAGAAGACCTTGAAAAATTAGAAGATTCACAAGAGACTGTGATTATGAGATCACAGTCAAATCTTACTCAAGAGGACATTCCGTTATCCCCCGCTTCTACAGAATCACCTATAGAAATACAAGAATTTACCGATAGTAATCTTAAACTGCCTTCTATACC